TATTTTTAACTTTTAGCTTCTGTTTTGCTACTTTTAGCATCTAGCTATTCTTTTGCTATTTTTAACTTTTAGCTTCTGTTTTGCTACTTTTAGCATCTAGCTAGTCTTTTTTGCTATTTCTAACTTTTAGCTTCTGTTTTGCTACTTTTAGCATCTAGCTATTCTTTTGCTATTTTTAACTTTTAGCTTCTGTTTTGCTACTTTTAGCATCTAGCTAGTCTTTTGCTATTTTTAACTTTTAGCTTCTGTTTTGCTAATTTTAGCATCTAGCTAGTCTTTTGCTATTTTTAACTTCCGTTTTGCTACTTTTAGCAGCTAGTTTTTAACTTTTAGCCAGCCTCTTGCTACTTTGAATTTTGAATCATCATTGTGCTACATATAGTGGGCTATCCAGCTAGCCTTTTGCTGTTTTTAGGTTTCAGCTAGTGTTTTCTACTTTTAGCTCACATTTGCTTAAATTTAGTTTTTAGCTTGCCTTTTGCTACATTAAGCTTTCAGCTAAGCTTTTCTACTTTTAGCCAGCCTTTTGCTACATTTAGCTTTTCACATTTAGCTTTTAGCTACTTTGAGTTAGCATATTTCTGCTTTTTGCAAAGGTTTTTGGTGCTTAGGCATTATTCAGCTTATTTTAAATTTGACAAGTCACTTTCGGCTTCTTCAGTAAATCCTTCAGCACTCATTGTTCCACTACATTTTTACATACATTTCTTTTTTCTCTTGTTTTTCATACATGTTTTACGTGCATCATTAGCTTTTTTTGTTCTTTTCAGCTGTTAGAGCAGGCTCTGGTGATCGAGGAGCAGCTGCGGCGGGCAGCTTACCTCAACATGACCCAGGACCCCAGCCACCCGGCCATGGCTCTCAGCACTCGCTTCACTGAGGTGGAATGTTTGGCAGAGTACCACCAACACCTGTCCAAAGAGTCGCTGGCTGGGAACAAACCTGCCAACGCTGTGCTTCACAAAGGTCTGCGGTCCAGCTCAAAAAATCAATCAACAGGGGGCACTCGAGCTCAGCTCCTCAAAGCTGCTTCAAAAATGCTTTTAGATGAGACAAAATTACAGCCGTTTCATCTTGTTTTATGTGCTTCAGCTCATAAAGTAAATACATAATTTAAGGATTTTGTTGCGCTTTCCCCTTTTAAAAGTATGATGTTCCATTAAATATGATTAGAACTGGTTTACGTCACTATTCAGTGCTTTCAGTAAATAAAACAAAACATATTTATCCATTTCGACAGACAAATGAATGGGTTTTCAAAGGAAGTACAGATGTTTCCATAGAAAGATCCTGTTTTTCACAGTGATTTTATTTAAAGTTACTTTGACTCACCAAACGAGCTTACTGTAATTAGGTTGACAGTTCAGAGACAAAGTGGAAAAAAAAATATGATTTAAATTTATTTTACTTTTGAGCTTTTTGGAGTTTGAAGCCTTTAGTTCTTGACAGTTTGTCATATTCTAAATAACACAATTAAATTGCTTAAAATATATATATAGTCTAGCCTTTTTTTAACATTAGATGTTTAGACATTAAAGAAGCATTTACAGAGGTAAAAACATGTTTTCGTATGTTCTGCGTTCTTTCAGTGCTGAACCAGCTGGAGGAACTTCTGAGTGACATGAAAGCAGATGTGACCCGACTGCCCAACATGCTGTCCAGAATCCCACCGGTGTCGGCCCGTCTGCAGATGTCCGAGAGGAGCATCCTGAGCCGCCTCACCAGCCGAGGCAGCGAACCTCCACTGCAGCAGGTGAGACGACGCCTGGTGCTCAGAAAGCTCACACGGACTAGACACAAATAGTGACAAGAAGGTAATTCACTGAAAACAACAACTTGTTTATCTGTTAGAAAAAACAAAGAACAATCTTGTGTTTTTTTTTTATCTTAATCTTCCTGATTAATCATCATAAGATCACTGCTTATGCTAATCTTTTATGGAGTAAAAATTCTTTATATTATAATTGTTATATACTCAGAATCCGATTCTTTACTCTTGTTATACAAAATTATATATTAAAAAAACAGTATAGCAGAGTAGTCATTTATTAAGAAAGGCAATGTCTTTGTATTCCAGTTAGCAACTCAAAATAAATATGGTTCATTTTGCAACAGAACATAAATGCTGTGCTGCAGAATGTGTTGGAAACAGCAGAATCTGCTTTTGTAGATAAACAATAGATTGATTTTATTCTTTACAAACACACACACACATATATATATATATATATATATATAATTACTGTAATGTCACTTTGTTGACATGTGCTGCAGATTATCTTTGCTACTCATCTGCTCACTCGGTGTATTGTTTTGCACTATCTGTGTTTAGTGCATTTCCTAGTTAAGTGTATTTCTTAGTTCATATCTTTACTGTTTCCTTTTACAGTTTATATTTTTGCTGTTGTTGGATATAACTGGGACCCTGTGTACACAATTTTATTCCACCTCATGTACCACATGTGATGTGAATGACAATAAAAGATCTTTGATATATAATACTGCATTTTTTGGACCGTGTACCACATTAAACTGGTTCGAGGTCAGTAAGCACAACCAGAATTAAAACATAAGGCTCACTGTTGATTTTTAAGATAATTAAAGGATTTTAAGTGCGTCTTATAGTCCGAAAAATACGGTAATATGTCTTGTAGAGACAACATGTGCTGTAACAATAAATGCTGGCAACTCATAGAATCCAGAACACAATTGTTAGTAAGATGAACACAAAGATGAAGTGGTTTTTATTTTAGAAATAAAATGTGTTTTGGTTGTCACAGCTTGGTGACTACATTTTACTGTTAAAAGTAAGTCGTCAGTAAAATATAATTATATAGCACTTTTCACAAATAAAAAAAAAACACAAAGTGCTTCACAATAAAATACCTAAAATAAATATAAATATAGACAAAGCATTAAAATTGAAAACAGAAAATAAATTTAAAAAAATACATGAAAACAAATTAAGCATAGTGTCATGGAACGCTCTTAAACAAAAGCAAATCTGGATAAAAAAAAAAGAAAAGTTTGTCTGAACTGTCGATTGAAAGTAAAGATGGAGGAAGTTGATTTCACCGTCGGTGCAACGGACTGAAAAGAGCGACTCCCTCCCCGAGCTTTAGAACGAGCCAGAGCTGCTAACACTTCCAGGTTGGAGGACCCGAGAGCTCCAGTTGAAGTAGATCGTTTCAACAACTGAGCAATAAAAAGAGGAGCTCGTCGTCTATGCAGAGCCGAAAAGACTGAATCTTTTTATTTTTTTGTTTCTAACAAGAGTTTTCTAACATGCGGTGTAAAATAACTAAATAAACAAAGTTCTCAAAGGTTCTCATTGCCTTTCAGCTTCACATTTTTCCCAGTGAATTAACTGGATTTATTTTGGTCTTCTTCTGTTTCCAGCGTTCCTTTTGCCATTCCTCATGTTCCCTCAGTCAGCTTCCTGCCACCCTCACCTGTCCCCAATCAGTAATCAGCCCAGATGTTTCCACTGCCACTCTGCTCGATTTATTCAATCTGTTTCTCCACTCATCAGTTCAGTGCTATTTGTCTCCACGCCTCGAGTTTTGTCTTTTTACGATCATCTTACGTTTTCTTATTAGTTTAGTTTTGCTGCCACAACAGCCTTTTTGTTTCACTTCGTTAAACTTTTTAGTTTAATCTTCGAGTTCAATCTTACCATCTAGTTCCAATCTCACCATAAAATATCACTTTGGTGACGTCTTTGTAACCAGAAACTGGACTCCCTTTCCTGTTTTGTTTTCTTGCTATAAACTAAAAGTTTGTCTTGCAAAGCAATACAAACGTGTTGATGATAATGAGGCAGCCGCTCACACTGGATACCTACTGCTTCAGCATCATAACCAAGAGCATTGACCTCTTGTTGTTCTCTGATAAATCATTCATGGAACCTCGTGGCCTGCTGGAGGATAACTCATCTTTCTTTGTTTTTCAGCCTTTCAGCCAGGGCGGGTTCGGCTGCTCGCAGATGTACAGCAGCACCTTCGGCGGGGGATTCAGAGGACCAGGCGGACAGCCCATGGTCAACTACAGTCAGATGCCCCTTGGACCCTACGTCAGCGGTAACAATCAACACTTGTAATAAATCAAATGTGACAGGAGGCAGGAGGGAAACAGAGGTTAGTCAGGTCACTTCCATTTTCATTCTGTTACAGCCGACAGAGAAAACCCCTGTACAGAATGTTAGCATTTAGCATATTAAACAGATTTTAAAAAGTGTCAGAAGTGCAAAGAAATGTCCAAATTAAGGACAAGTTTGGTTTGGTCAGTATAGCTTATTGCAAAATACAAATACATCTGCACATGAAAAAATAAATATTTTATGTGGTTACAGAAAATGAGCATAATAAAGTCCCAAATTAATGTTGTGCAGGAGGCATGTTTTAAAAACTGGACATCCTTTCATTCAACCTTTATTTATACAGGTTAGTCTCATTGAGCCACAATGACACATTTCCAGGAGAGACCTGTTTTAAACAAAGAACACAGATGAGGTTCAAACAACAGTAAGTATATATATAAAAAAAAAGCAACATACAAAATGAAAAGTAAATGGAAGAAATGAAACAAAAACGAAACAAAAAGCTACATTATAAAGTGATGTAAAATACTAAAAACAGGAACACGTCTGCATTAGTTTTTCCCATAAACTTAACAGATGTTTAAAGTCCCTTAGAGAGGTCAAGGTCGAGAGCTTCATATCTTTTTGCAAGATATTTCGGGAAACAGGAGCGGAGTAGGAGATGGCCCTTTTGGCAAGTTCAGTTCTCACTGAGGGAACACTGCAGGTAATAATGTCCTGAGAGTGCACGCTGTAAATGCACTCCCGCAGAGACATGTAGGAGGAGATGTATGAAGGCAGCAGACCAAGAAGTGATTTAAAGATGAAAATGTACCAGTGAGAGAGTCTGCTTGAAGTTAATGATGTCCAGTTAACCAGTAAATACTGGGTGCAGTGTATGGTAGTTACAGCCAGTTAGCGCACCATGATAGACAGAGTTCAACTTCTGCAAGGTGCTTGTAGGAGCGTTCATATAGATAACGTCACCATAGTCAGTGGAGGGAAGGAAAGTTGCAGTTATAAGGCATTTCCTAGCGTTCAGAGTTAGACAGGATCCATTTCTAAAAAAGAAACCCAAATTAACTTTCAATTTCTTTACCAAGTTTTTGACGTGGGGCTTCAAAGCGAATCGACCAACATACCCACGTATTTATAAGAATGGACAAACTCAATAGGTACACCATTCGAAGATAAAATATAAGGAAGGACAGCTGGTACCGACTTCCTGTTTGAAAACAAACAGTAAGCACCATGTGACATCCCTATCCGCATTTAGCACAAGTCTGAGACGGAACAAATCTGACTGGGTGATGTTGAATGCAGACTGTAAAAGCTGAAAAACCTTAACGACTGTTCTAGCTCGACAATAAACAACTGTGTCGTCAGCATAGAAATGTAAGGATGCATCAGGAATGATCTGACTTACATTACTTATGTAGATTGTGAAGAGGGTGGGTCCTAAGACTGAACCTTGTGGTACACCATTGTTAACAGTTCGATAACTGGAGGAAGTAGCGTTATGTTGAACAATTGGAGAACCAGCCAATACTGGCATCGCATTACAAAACTTTAAGAATGCGGCTGCATGACGCGCTGGTCATTTGGTCAAACACATTGCGACAGAAAATCTGCTTTTTCAGGTTTTTTTTTTTTTTCCATTGAATTTCAAACTAATCAACAGTTTCAGCACAGTTTGATGATAATCTAATGACCAGAAAGGGGAAAGTCAGCACAAAAACGCAGACTCACTAAAAGAGGGAAACAAAGGTCAACAATTAGGTTTTTACCCACTGTAATTATATTCTATGATTTGTTTATTTTTAAGTGCGCATACTGGCTCCACCCCCTGCTCTGTAAAAATGTGGAGCTAAGATTATATGACTGAAAAAGTCACTTTCTCAGTGTTTGCTGTTTATTTATCTGAAGATCCATATTTAAGTTCTTACTGGGAGCCATTAAATGTGAGCTCTTCTCACTTTTCAGTGTCATCGAATGCCCCCCTGACCCCTACAAGCCATCTGGACAAGAAAGCACTTGACTCTTTGAGAGACGTGGCTACGCCTGAACTCAAATCGGGCAAATCTAGCGACGTCATCTGCATCGAGGACTAGACGAGCTCTGTCTCAGTGACCCGAGGTCAAACTCCCAGGGATGGAATCTGTATGGATGACTGCTGCCCTTGTCTTTAACATCCTCCTCGTTCCTCCTTCCTTCCTCATAATTTACAGCATCGAAACTCTTGTGTGCTTGAGACGAGTAACTTTCTGATTCTTGGAGACCTATCTTAAAAGTTTGCACTTTTATCTTTTAAAAGTCCTATAGAAGTATTTCAGTGGGCATTTGTTTTGTTTGAAATGCACAGCTGATGATTAGGAGAGGAAATAGAGCAGCTTTTTTTTGGAAGTGGACTTCACGAGGCCTGCACTACAAACCAAACTCAATTGTCGAGTTTTGGTTGCTCTTCATTGGGGGCTCGTTTTAATCTTGTAAAATAAGCTTTTTTTTTCTGCAAGCTGCAACTTTCTAAGTCTCTGTGCGTTCTTTTGCTTTTATCTATTCTCCAACAGCCCCTTTACACTGTGACTGTGCTGCTCTGGAAGCTTCTGGAAGAGGAGAGAAATTCAGTCGTAGTTTAGCCGTTTAACATTTTGTTACAAGAACACGTGTAAGCAGCTGATAGATTACTGATTTTAAAGCATCCAAATGTGTAAATCCATTAGCAGAGCAGTCCGTCTGACGCCTGTAAAGATTGCCACCTGCTGGTTCTTTGGAGAAAGTCAAACTGCGGCTTCATTCTGACTGCAGCGTCTTTGAAGGCTGGCCTCTTGTACAGTAAATACTCAGAAACCGCAGTTTATTTTACATGTTACTGAAAACATGGACACACTCATGGACACCTTTGGGGATGACGTGAAATCCCGAGCTTGTAGATGAAACATCAAGAACACGTTGGGAGTGAGAGAAGCACCAACTCAGCATTTCTGTGCTAAGGTACGATATCTGTGAATGTTAGTATTGTATTAGCAGTAGAGCCTCGCATTGGGGCCATAAACAGAACCACGGCCGGCCCCGAGTGTTCAGGTCAACCGAGCCTCCTGAATGAATGGAAGCATTTTCTCCTTTATGTTCGGATCTTTGCCACTTCCTGTTTGGTTGTTAGGATGGCCTAATGGGATGCTACGGCACATTTAGTGTACGAGTCTTTAGTTTTCGTTTTATTTTCTAGTAAAGTCGGGTATAATCGTCACGATGCCAGAATGAAAGGTGAATGATTTGTTCCTTGATGCAGTGCGTTTTCTCTGGCGGTGCCACGATCTAAACCTACAACTGAAGGAGTGTTCGTCAGCCTTTAACGACAAATGTTGCACGTTAGCCCGAGACATTCACCGTCACGTTTTTCCGTTTATTTTCTTGCTCTGTTTTTGATTTATCCATGTTAAAATATCTTTGCTTTCATTTCTCATCTGCTTAAGTGACTTACGGTTATAGTCTTACGAGCAAAAAAAAAAAAAAAAAAAAAACAGAGCACCATGATCTGCAAATAATTCAATACCAGTGAAAAAGTATAAATAAAACATCAATAAAATTGAGAAAAAATATTACCAGTGAGCTGCATTTCAGCTCCTTTAACGACCTTCTTTGTGTTTGGAAATGAAGGAAACCAGTAATTTTCTGTACTTAAGGGTTGGCAGCTTAGCTGCTTGTTTCTAGAGCCATGCTGTTGCAACTCATGTGGAATGTAGCGTCTTGCTTAACTAAGGTCTCTCCTTTGGAGGAAAATAAAAAAAGAGCAGCTTTTATTTGTCAGCACTTGTTTCTCCAAAACCTGCCATTCAGCTTTAATTGTGCCTTCTTGAATGCGTGTGTGAAATACACACCCAGACTTTGATGACAAGCTGAGGAATTCCTGTTTAAAATGAAGGAAATATCGTTGATTGAAGAATCTTAATGGTCTTTAATTATGTTGGTTTTTATTTTTACACATTAGACTTTTAGCTTTTATTCATAGATGTTGTTCTTACTGTTAATTCTGAGTCTGGTATAGTCGTAAAAGTTGTAACCATCCATAGTTTTTTTTTTTTTTTTGGTCTGGATTCTGAATATTTTCATGACATTTTGCTCTGTACATTATAATAATCCCTATAGCGTTAGAGCTTTTCAGTTTGTGAGAGATTTAATTATTTTATCTAATCACACACTTTTTCAAAGAATGAAAAACTGCAAGGAAGTTTATGTCAATTATAAGTTAAAACCTTCCTTATGCAGAGTCTGTTGTGTCAAATCAAGGCACCTGATATCTGATATACAACACAGTATTTAAAATTTTGCGCAATATGCATTTTTCCTTTGATAAAAATACAGTACCGTATTTTCCAGCCTATGCATCTGTCCAAAAATGTCTAATAATTTGGGAAAAAATCCATAAATAAGTTGCTTCGCTGTATAAGTCGCATCTATTATGCGTCAGCGCTGACATCCTGGAAATGTGCGCCGGTGTTGTAGCAAAAATCGATTGGCTGCCAAATGGCGGCCGCAGGAGCGTGCATGGGAGGACTTTAACAAGAATTTACCATACCATACCATACCATACCAATTTATTTATATAGCACTTAAAACAGCAACAAGGCCAACCAAAGTGCTGTACAAAAGAAAACAAATTTGAATGAATTGAATTGATCTGAAATGATCTGAATTTAACAAGATTAACACTGAAAAACAATTATGTTTGCTCAAAATTATAGTAAAAGTGTGTCTCAGTTGAACTTTTACTTAATAAATGCACTTTGACAGTCAAATCAGCTTCATTTCACCAGGGCGACTCAGCAAAATGAAGCTGATTTGACTGTTGCTCCAGGCAAGCTGGAGGAAAGTGGTGTATGGCAAGCTGATTGTGTCATTAATAGCCACTTTTGACACAACAGCATGCCATACAACTCCAGTGCCATTTAGTGGCTGAAAATGGTAATGGTTCAATATTTTCAATGTCAGAATGAATTAAAATGGTCATATCTCAGTCAAAGATTGGTTTATAAATATGGGAAAAAATCCATAAATAAGTCACTTTGGCGTATATGTCACAGGATATGCAAATTAGGCAAAACGGTGCGACTTATAGGCCAGAAAATTTGGGAATTTGTTTACTTTACAAAACTAACATGGACTATAGTAATGAGGTTGCAGCGCTGCTACATCTTAATGTTTCTACTTGGTAACTGGTTAAATATGCACAGGAATGACAGATTGCCAGATTTTAAAATGTGGCCAATATTGATCGATTAATTAGTTGATCTCTGATCTGTTGCATGTTCTCTTTAAATCTGACCACGTTCTTCACCACTGAGGCATTTAAACCAACAGAACTGGCATGAAACATTACCATGCTTTAAAAAACAAACAAAAAAACAATAACGGTGTCATATGCTGTGTTTGCACTATTCTTAATGAACATAAAAGTTAAATTATTTGCAAATCATTGCTTTCTGTTTTATGTTTTTAAAGCAGATGTTAATGTATGAAGGCAGAGTGAGACTCAAAGTGCCCGTTTTTAAAACAAATGTTTTTTTATTCAAACTTACAAACTTCATTGTCAGCGTTATACATAACATGTGGGAGTCCAGCTGTTTAATTTAACATTTGTATTTTTCCTGTGACGCTTTTGTTTTATTCACACGGACTGTGCCACTTTAGCTTCCCGTTGATGTTTTGACACGTATTCAGTTTCAAACTATGACTTTTGGACGAACCTTGAAGAGCATCACCAGTTTTTGCAGTACTTTTTCTTTTGTTTCTTACTTCTGAATGTTAGCTGTGAATTTGTTCATGAAATACTTGACCATGACATGTATTGGGTTGCTTGACAGATGGGACCTCAGAATCATGTAAATACTTGAACTTTTTTTTCAGAGATAAGCTTGTGTCATATAATTTTTCTTTTTTTATGTATTAAGAAATAAAAAAAGATGAATGTCCTTTTGAAGTGTGTTGCCATAAACCTGCTCTGTGCACGGTGTGTGTGCTCATCAGTCAAGATCTTTCCCTTCTGGAGTGGTAACACAGGACTCCAATGAAAATGCAATCAAACTGAAGCCTGTATGAATGTAACGTATGTTTCAAAGGCTTCAGTCTAATAGGAATATGTTAACGATGTATGTATTTGCTTATTAACTTGGCTTCAAAAGCTACCAAAAGACCCTGAAAAAAGGCACCTTTGTTGCAGTGAATGCACAGCATGTGAAGCGTTTGACGGTTCACTTTCAGGAGGTGGCAGTGTGTCTAGCATTTACAGACTATGAGCTCCAAGCAGCGTTGCGGTCCTGATAATTGTGCTGTACAGCAACTGAATGAAAAAGTGGATTGTCATCTTTTTATTTGTATTCCGTGTATTTGTTCAGTGTGTTTTAATAAATCTTCTGGACGACTGTAACAATGTGTGATCATTTCTTGCCTCGCAGTCCTTCTGGCAGACGAACGAAAAAAGCGTGCACTTGAGTAATTGAGCTGGGTTCAGCAGGACTTCCCATTTAATTAAAGCAGACTACATTCCCGTGACAATCTCGCGTGGTGCCTTGTTCTCATTGTGTCGTGTCATCCAGCGCCGCTTGTCACAACTGCCACAAGCCTGCAGGGCAACGAACGTGATTAACAGCAGAAACAAAAACTCTTATTCAGTGAAACTGAGAAATAGCAGACTCTAGGCCACTTGAAAATGTCATTGATTCGGCCCAAAACAGCATAAATCACAAGTACTACACACACTTGAGATTGAGCTCCACAAATTCTTATTCTTTGGCTATTTCACGGTTTTCCACAGGGTATCGTTTTTCCAAATTTGCCACAAGGAATAATAAAAAAATAGTTCAAAAAGTATGAGCTTATACAAGGAATTATCACTTGCCACTAAAAGATATGGGTGGATGATAATTGTTTGTGTGCGGTTTGTGTGTCTACCTGTTACCACAATTTCTCATGAACCATCCATCCATCATCTTCCTCTTGTTCTGAAGTCGGGTCTCGGGGGCAGCAGTCTGAGCAGTGAGATCCAGACATCTCTTTCCACAGCCACCTCTTCCAGCTCTTCTGGGAGGACTCCAAGGTGTTCCCAAGCCAATTGAGAGACATAGTCTCTCCAGCGTGTCCTGGGTCCTCCCTG